CACCACCAATCTAGGTACCACTTTACCTCCACAGTAGTGCACTACCCACCATTCTCCAAGTTGTGGCCGTTTTCAGGGGCTAAACTCTCGCTAGAGCCCGGATCGCTGGTCTCTCCGTCTATTGGGTCTAGCTCTTGTTCTCGCTCGCACCGCTACATCGAACATGCTTCCATACCACCATGCCTCCTTTTGGTCAACATTACGATACCGGCCTTATGGAACATGCTCGCCATAGCATAACGTCTCGGTCCAGCTTGCATCGAGAACCATCCAATCCAAGCAGCCGACCATTCGCCGGTGTCTAGGACTCCAGATCCCTTGCGAGGATCCCAACCTCTCCCCGTCTATTCTATTTCTGTGCTGATCAACACGGAGCCGAACCTCGCCCACCTGGCAATGGGGGAATCCACCGCAAACGCCGTCTCATCAATCAGCAACGATATCGACAGCCGTTCAAACATTGCCAAGGTGGCCTTTTTTGCCGCAACACTAGAACAATACTCTGGTGATCCTTTACCACCCTCAGCCAGAACGGCAGCCGCACCCGATCGGGCCCTGCCACGCTCCCCATCATTAAATTGGGGGGCCTACCCTCGGCGTCCTCGGAAATATAGTAACACTTTTGTCATCTACAGATAGTTCGACAGTCATTGATGTCCCGGTCGCGAGTTGAATGCCCGGGTTCTTTCTCTCGGGACCATGACTTCGACCACATTCATCAGGCCGTGTTCCTACTACAGACGATCGTGCTCAAGAATGATTGACATCGGCACAAAGAACGCTTCGCCGCACACTGGACGAAAGCAGATTGGCACCGACAACACGGCGGCGGCACCTCCATCCCCATGGCAAGCGTTGACTGCTTGGACCTCTTCCAGGGGCTCCCCCCGTACACCACACGATACTTTCCACTGATGCCGCATCTCCCCGCCAAGGCTTCCCAACTTAATTATCAGCGACTCACGGGTAGTTCATCATTTCTTCGCAAACGCAGAAAAAAAGAAGAAAAAAAAGAGGTCAATCCCACACGCCGTAATCTGTTCGCCTGAAGCTGAACAGCCCCATTACTATTGCGCGTCTCTCTTCGCTCTTCTGGCTCTCCGGCCCTCCCGCTCGTTTCCTTCAAACAAGGCGGCATAAAGTCTGATGCCGTCCGCTCTTAGCTTCTCTGAGAAGAACGACAATCGGGGCAAGCGACATCAGCTGTCTCCGTGTCTCGCTCCCAGCATCTCCCTAACCCATTGTCTGCTGGCCCTGTTTCCCATCAGAAAGCTTAGGGAAGCCTGTTTCACCTCCTTCGATAATACGGTACATGGCGTCGTGGCACCTGTACGCCTTTCTTTCGCTATACACCTCCACATGCCGAGGTACCCCGCCATCACGCAACGAGTCGTCGCTCAGAATAGCTCCTCGCCACCGAGCAGCTTGAGGCGACACAAGTGTGTCTCCCACTTCCCACCTGCTGGACTCGTCATTCTGCACCATGACTTTTCCGTCAGCTCAAACATGGTGGGAAGCTTCGCATTCATGTTCTCAATCAACATGAGAGTACCTTCAAAGTCAAGGTGTTCCTGTACAACTCCACGGATGCCAACTGGTGTCCTGAAGCTGGGATGTTGAGCATGCTTTCTCGTCAACCACTCAAGACGGAACACGCTGGCGCAACCGACTAGACCTCAGAAAGCCGTTTTGAGCCCTCATTCTCCTTCGCCCGCCCGAACCAAGGCTACAACAAGTTAGCAATGGACAAGGAGGTGGGACAGTGGCCAACGATGGGGCCCATATGAGATGGACCCACGAACTTGATGGATACGAACCTGTCTGCCACTGTGTCCGGCCACCCCAGGTTCTTACGGAGACTTTTCTCTCACACTGCCTCTTGATCCCCTTCTGTTTTCGGCCATGTTTGCCAGGGGAGGCCACGCCTTGCAAGGTTTCCAGCAAGGGGCAAGGAACCTGAGACACACCCGCAGAAGAACACTTCAAGTCCCAACGGCGTTGTCAGTTCTGTGCGCCCGCTAGGATGTGGGCATCAAACCTCCTGAAAAGTACCACAAGGTGACATTCTTGACGGATCTCGACGGGATAGGCCCACTTCCGGGCTGTGACTGTCAGCAAGGAAGGTCCCGAGGGCAGGCCTGTCGCGAGAGCATTTTCGTCTCAATTGGCCGGTGTCAAATTTCAGACACTTCAAACTCGTCCGCCTATTGTCGCGCCCAACTGCCATCGCATCACATTCCGATACTGAAAGGTGGCCTTCTTCCAGAGTCACATCCAAGGAGTCGTGACAGGTGCTTGGTGGCGATAAATTGGGTCCCAAAGGACCCAACTCCATAGGCCTTGAGAGGAAAGCCGTTCAGCCCGCTGTGAACGAGACACGACGGACGGTGGCTAACGTGCCAACTTAGCGTTCGCGGCTATAGCCCCTCCCGGCGCGCCTTGAGTTAAATTGCTTTGGGGAAATACGGGCCTCGCGACGCCGCAGACGCGTCTGCCCTGACCCAAATTGCGCGATGAAAGAATTTGTGGCTCTTCCTGCACGAGTTGCAAAGCCACACCAGCCATTCAATCCTAAACCCTCATTTCATTCACAATCCTTTCCCACGTTGCTGACAGGAGCCGAACCCCGCACTGCGAATATGGCGTTGCCGGCTTCGCGGGAATAGAGGGATTTTGGTAGGAACGGAAAATCATTGCACAGAAATGGCATGGCATGGCTTTGAAAGCTACCCGCCGCCCACTTGCTTGTCCAACGCTTTGTCATGAGCAATGGAAATCGATCCTTGCCTCGTTCCACCGTTCGTCCCATCATGCAGGCCGGCTCTCAAGGGATGGGTCTTTGAACCTGCCGCCGCGATCCGCCGGAGTGTTGAGCCCGACGATTGGTATCATCACTACTAGGTGCCCTCTGATCATTGCCTTACAAGTGCGAATACATTCGAGTTCGGTCTTGGTGACGCTTGATCACATCGCAAGGCCCAAAATACATGGTGTTGATATGTAGCACTACTTGACTTCGTGTCAACAAATCTCGAGGTCGCAGTGAGATCCCTCGCGGAATGGGCTTTGCGAGGCGTTCACGACCCCTGTGGGAAAGAATACCGGGAGACAAAATGGCATCCGGACCTATAGCCCATTGCAATGTTTTGCCCGCAGACGACCGCCTGCATGATGCATTCTGCAAGCCCTTTCTCGGCGAGCGCTTAGAACACTGCTACAGCTCGTCAAGAACGGATCTGCAAGCCTGGAGATCGCCAACGTGGCTCCAGTCAGTCGATTGCCAGCCCTCCACCTTTCACTCATCGATCGGCGGCCCAGCTGCTTGGGCCCGTAACCGCCGGAGGTGACTACAACAATAATCTTGTGATTGGTGCTGAGCAAGTCGACGACAGCAAGCAAACCCCATATGAAGGGGCTTCCTCTGCGTGGCGTTCCCGTACCCCGCTGTCGTGGTTCATGGCGGGCTACAGTATTCCCTATGTTCATGGCCAAGACTCTTCCTACTATCCGGACGAGAGATTTCTGATTGGGCGAGGTGGCGCCTCTACGGTATCTTGAGTTGAGGCGATTAAGGATTCTGTTCCAACAAGCGCGCAAAGTACAGAACTTGGGCTGCCTCGCATGTCATTGCGTTTTACCGCCGAGGGGCCAGAGATACTTGGTGAAAGCGCCACGAGGCGCGTCAATGACCAAACTAATAGCCGCAGAGCCGGCACCAGTATCATGTATACTACAGAAAGACGCAGGCTCTTCGTCACTCAACTATGGACGTTACTATTTCCGATTCAACATCATGCCCGTTCAACGAGAAATGACTAGCCTGAGCAAGCTGCTGGCAACAGGGTCTAGATGTCAGTCGGCTTCAGCCACACCTAATCGCATCCTAATGTACTGTTTTCCAAAGATTCCGGACAGTCACAACGGATGCCTCTCCATTGAATAGGCATTTTGCGGGACCGCCAGCGGTAAACAGACCTCGTGGTCCGTTGAGGAACATCAAGCCCATTTGGACACAGGAGCAGATGGTCCTCGAAAATCGTTGATCCGCACTATGTCAGCGTTCGCTCTACACAGCCGAGTACCTCGGCGAACGACACTGGACCGACGGGTTTGTCACTCTTGTTTCAAGTCGACGACATCTACGCTCGACAAATTGGGGCATCGACAGGGCAGAGTATTGCTGTTTCCAGTGTTTTGGAGGCGACATCTCACTTGCGTCGTGGAAGCACCGACTGACATTCTCGAGGCAAGCGTTGTCGATCTGTCAGTCCGCCTGCTATGGCAGAAATCACGACTGCGAGAGAGCACTCGGAGAAGAGTACACTAAGAATGATAGAGGCATACTATCGTGCTGGAATAACGGTCAGCCTACTGTCTGAATCTGGAGATGGCCAATCGAGTCACCAAGCGGAATCTTCCAATAATATGGTCAGCTCTGAGGTGCCGAGACCTTCTTGGTAAAGAGAACCTGATGCGTTCTCTGGCATCCTCCGCGACGTATGGCAACATCAGCTTTGCCGGCAAAGCGAATGGAATGTGCAAAAGTGTGTTATCAAGGAGCGTGGGAGTGTGGATTTTGGCTCGAGGAGAAGAGCAGTGGCCTTGTTTCTGAGTCTTGCGGATCGTATATGTATCCACGCGGAGGACGGACGCTGTGCGGTCACTTCTATTCGCCTCTGATGATGCTGTGGCCTGGACTGCGGCAATTTTCGAACGGCATGAAGATAGGCTTAACCAAGGGCCTCTTCGGCGGCCAACCCCTCTCACTGAACCTAAGAGCCAATGAGGGAACACGACTGCATGTCCATCCTGGACATGTCATAGGGCTGAGATCCTCGGAGAGTAAGATTATGTCTCCTGCTGTTCGTCTCCTTGCTAGCTCTTCTTTGACGGCTGCTCATCAGCCAATCAAGTAATCTTCCTATCAATCTTCGTATAGTAAACCAATAAGCTACCACGGCAGCTTCTGATGACGGATCCTGCGGCTCTCTCTTCCTAGAACTCACTCTACCCAGGGTACAGCATCCTCCCGATTGCTGTTACCTGGCAACTTACCGATACGTTTGGGCGCCATTCAACCTTGAAAATGACCCTATATCAGATTCCCACGGAATCCTTTGATGAGGCCAGGACTGCGCTCACGTCCGAACTCGGTAAAATTGTAGAAGATCACTAGGCTTCGACGGCGCCTTTCAAGTGTGCGGAGGTCGGTATCAAGGTCCAGCTGTCGAGGCGTGACTGTCAAGGATCGAGAGGGTGGTAAGCAGCAAGGCAGCTGACGTGGGCGTGATCTCACGATCTGCTCATGCGAAGAAACGCCATCTCCGTCTTGAGCTTGCAGCTCGTCCCCTTGGCCATACCTTGGCCGAGTCTCCGCGCTGTCACCTGGGCATGGTGTCTCACGGCAGAAGGAGCTCTTCGTGCATGGCTGATGTCGACGTGTCAGTTTGGTCGGTTCAAGCAATTAACATGAACGACGATACACCGCTACCCTATGGAGGGACTGTCGCCCACCCCTCTCTTCTCCAGACAACCCACAGCGGGTTCGCTGATCAAGATCCTACGCGCAACCACCACCGCCATTCCCAACAGAACGGTGTATCTGTGCGTTGTGTGTTACACGGCAGCCGTCAGTTGAAGGAGGTTATCGCAACTGCGAGCGAACTTCTCTCATGGAGAAGGAGAGACCACACACATACACACACATACACACACGTCGACAAAGGAGGGTAAACTGAAATCAGCGCAGCTCGGCTGTAGATACAGACGCATCGCAAATATGCGGCAGCTGGTCAGTCGGCCACTCTCGCCTGTTGCCGGATGCCTACAACGGTATCAACTTTCAACTGCCTTTCCCGGTTTACCCATGCCCCCCCCCCCCCGGGACCGTGAAAGTGGGGATCGAGTCCACGAACCGGCAGCCTAACAGGATCCGCCGACTTTCAAGAACCCCGTTCATTCTAGCCAGGTGGGGTTCGTCTGGCTGTTCTGGAATCTCCCGAATATGAATTGAGATGAGGAGGAAGAAGAAGAAGACAAGAGAGGATGGGACCCAGAACAGGGTGAAGGGTATTAGAGTTCTCGAGGGTGTGGTGGGCGCAACCGACCTTGTCCAGGTACAAGTGCATCCCAAACGCGATCACCGCCGCAATTGAGAAGAAGCTCGACTGGGGAGGCGGGATGCCTTTTTCGAAACATGGCCGATCACCTTTGAGCTAACCCTTGGCAGCAAATCCAGCTGCCGTGAGGAGATCACGGAGACTTCTTGTCATCGGAGACTTAAATCACAAACGCTGACTTGGTTTGGGACTTTGGTCTCCGTACCCCACGCTCGATCTCACGGGAAGGCAGAAACATGAGCACTAGGCATCATCCCACCAACTTGTGTCTTCTCGGGAACGATAACATCGGGTTGCAAGATTTGCCATGCCAGGAGGGGTGAGAATGTTCGTGGGTCCCGTCTGCCTGCGAGGTGCCCTGGGAGATGAACTCGCGAACCCCCCCCCCCCCCCCCGAATCGAAGCTAACGCTCGGAACTTTGGGTTAAAGGATTTGATCCTCAAGCTCAATCTCAGTAATCGAGCTGACGGCCATCAGAATCCGCTAGCGCCCGTGCCTGTTCCCGCAATATTGCCCGGCGCCGGGGGGTTGGGGGTAAAGTAGGAGGCTTGGTGGATCGTCTTCGGGTTGCGATGATATGCGATGGAGCCTCAGGGGTACGAATAGTGATAGATGCTTACCTTTTGAGTTGACTCGTTTAATCTCACCTAGGCAACTACTCCTGATGCGACATGTCCTGCAATGGAACCGGAGAGAGACTCAGAGTATGAGATGGAGCCCTCTCACATCAGCTTTCGTGGGCCGCGCCTGAGGTGGAAAGAACTTTGGGAGCGTCTTTGACGAGCCTCGTCAAGAGGACTTGACTGGAATCTTCCTGCGTGTTCTTGGCTGTTCGCTGCCTGGACGAAAGTCCCGTGAGACTCTGAAGATCAATAACTAGACCAGGTGAAGTCTCTTGGCGAGAACCAAGCTGGATATCCTACTCACACGGAGCGTGGAAGGAATATGCCGGGAGATGGCTCGCTTTCTTGCATCACCTGCCCTAACTTCTTGTCTACATTGATCTCTGTTTCTGTCTGGTTCCTAGATAGCCTCTCGGAGCAACTCACAACCAAATTGACGCTTCAAATGAGACCCAAGTGACCCTCTTGTTTCCCCATTGAGACTGCCCGGAAGACTTCCCGTTGAGATCGTGGGTGTGTTGATAGACTTTCAAATCAGTTAGCATAGAAACTAGAATCGAACCAACTGATACCTGAGCCTTACCCCCCGTGGCTCAACGCTAGTCTCTTAAATGCTGGAGTATATTTTTGACTCTCAAACAGCTCACAAGTCGGACTTAGGATGACACGCGCACGTAGACATAGCAGAGGTATTGAAGATAAACTTATTTCGGATTCGCCTCGGGGCTTAGATACATACACATGCATACCTAGATACTCACTCATACACTGAGCCTCTTTGTCTCAACTACACACATGCTCCCTCATCCTTTTTCCGCAATACAGACACAAAAAACACTTAGCAGCATCGTAAACATCATCAACTCATAAACATCGTGAAGCGTGAAATTGCAAGAGGGGGAAAAAAAAGAAAGAAAATCTCGAGCCCATCTGTCCACCAGTGCATGGCCCCTTTTTCCGATAAAGAAAACCCCTTTCTTCCATTCTCCAAAGTACCCGATACCCCAAGATGTAGTAAAATATGACTTTCAACAACATGCGGAATAGACAAGCCCCAAAACCATGACGTTGAGGAAAAGAAAACAAGCATTGACAGTAAAATATGCTGTAAGATGTTGGATGAAAAGAAGAGACCTCCCCGATGAGATGGTATACCAAACCCATTTTGTGCCGCCGCCGTGATGCTGATGAAGCGCCGCTTGCGTCTATCGTCACTTTACGTCCCAGAGGAAAAGGACCCGTCCCAATGGTATCATCGACCCTGATTAGACCACTCTCTTCTTTCGTTTCGACTCACTTTAAGGCCGTTTTTGCTTCGTATTTTCTTAGTAGCGCTTCTCTTCTGGTAAGACGTTCTCTCCGTAGAAACCGCCATGGTGGTGGCCATCGTCGCCGGATGCTGCGCAGGCAAGGCAGACGCCGCCTCCGTAGACTCTCGTATGTCTCTTCCACCCGGCCCCCGAACCGTCCAGAGAGGAGATGATCTCGCCTCGCACGAGAATCTCTTGCTGAGTGGCTTCGTCGTAACGAATTTCACCGTAGATAGGGGGAGGGCCAGGAAGTAGAGGTGATGTAGGGGGGTACGACGAAGGAGGAAAGACCATGCCGACGTCATCGTCAAGACCCGGAGCCGATAAATGAGAAGGGATTCCGATGGGAAGCGTCTTGGTGTAAGATCTCCTGCGGGGTGCTGGGGAGGACCTCGTAGTTTGCGCCTCCTGCGCTGCTGTCGAGGCGCCGGTTGATATTGATGACATATAGTCGGGGTTCGGCTGCTCGAAGAACGATGCATCTAGCTCAGACACACCACTGGTGAAGCTTCGTCTGCGCTCATCATAGGTGAAAACCGATGGCGAAAGCTCCGGGGGCGTGAGAGGAGGAGGCTGCGGAGGTCTCGACAACATGAACTGGGCAGGAGATTGACCCGCAGCTTTGCCCATCCGAAGGATGTGGTCCGCAAACATCACATCGCCGCTACTCCTCTTCTCTGGACCTTCGACCATCTCTTTCTCATTTCCCCTCATGTAACCGTCCTGCGGACTGATCTTCCTAGTCGACTCAGCCCCAGCAGCTAGGGTGTTACTGCTGACCCCACGTGACTTTTCTTCCATGACCCAGCCCCCGTCTTGGACGAAGAGATGATGGAGCCGTTGCTGATTGATCAAGTGATCAAGTTGGTCTTTGGCGTGTTGATCGTGTTCTTGAGACTTTTTGGACTTGTTGCTCGCCTTTGTCCAGGAAGCACCACATACCACCAAACGTAAGGTGACCAGGACGGTAAGTATTAGAAGACCGGTGCAGATATGAGAGAAAGATAGGTGGTGGTAAGAACGACCAGTTGAACGCGGCTCGCCCAAGGCAAGCTCAGCATGAGTGAGGGCGGGCATGGTTGCTTAAAGACAGACCAGCTGATTATGGGAAGTGAGTAGGTAGGCTTAAGGAAGGTCGTAAAGGGGGTCTGTCAGCCTTCAGCAGAGGTAGAGGTACCTTCGCCGATGGAATTCGGATGCGGTGTGGTGCCAGGTGGTGGTACGTCTGGGGTATGCTTGTGTCTGGTGGCCCTGGCCAAGACCTAGCAGTGGCTTGCGAGTAATGAAATGGCGCTGCTGGACATAAGCGACTAGGGGGATGTGAAGGTGGGCCTCCGCCGCCGCATCTGCCGTAAGTCGGGAGGCAAAGCTACCGAATAATGATCCGGGCTGGACCGACTGCTTTGCGTGCGGCCAAGGAGGGTGGCCGAAGAGAGGACGAGAGTGAGGGCGAGCCTTGAGCGTGTGAGGGAGGGAGGGAGAGAGAGAGAGATTGGCGGAGGTCTGTCTACATGATCGACGTGTAAGTGCTTGATCCCTTTTATGGTGCTATTTCGAGTGGATGCCGCGCGCTAGGGTGGCGCGAGGCTCATTGCGCCGCAAGCTCTGAAACCATCCGCCGAATTTGAATGGTTCCCACGCATCACTGGCAGCGGCATCACCCAGTAGGTAATTGTAAATGACTGCGGACTTACAAACAGGTTGGTTCCGAAGTCCCCAAGGGACTGCAAGCTGAGATGGGTTGAAGTGGGTTGGAGGCCGTTCCCTTGCTTGGCAGATGCAAGTCGCAATGGACGAGGGTTGAGACAAACGGAGGATATTTATGCGCCGTGTTCCCGTAGACAATAACCTTGTCGTCGATTGAGTTTGACAAAGGAGGTTCTTCGTGAGGGACCTAAGATCCAAGGGGAATGGATAAGGATCTAGGACGGTATGAGGATCATAGACCAAAACAAAGCGCCGGTGGGGTGGAAGGATTGGCGGGCAAGCTGGGCAGGATAGAGTATCATATATATAGACACGATGCTTGATGCGCCGTGTCGCGGGAGGCCAGACAATATGGGGATAGTTGAACCGTATCGCCAGATCTGGTCCCGCCCGCTTAGAAGGTTGTAAGGAATGAGATGATGAAGGGGTCGTGGATATGAGGGTGTGTACCAAGAGAGGAGGTGTGCAGAAGACGAGATCCTGGGATTGCGCGTGGAACAAAAGACGCTCGCCTAGGAGGGCCCGTTTTCAGGGTGCCTTCTACATTCTCAGTCAGCCTCCTTCGTGAAATAAGCGAGAGAGCCCCGAAAACACAACTGCACTAACCAGGTTCTCAAATGCTCTAGTATAGTCACGATGGCGAAAAGCCTTTGCTTAGATTTGCCGCAAGGCGCATTGATAGGTGTGTGGTTAACAACTTCAACTGGTCGTCTTCCAAGCTGGGTTGAGCTTAAGCGGTGTTGCAGAAGCGGGCGCGGATGGGGTGGCCATGGATGCGCCCACGGGTGGAGAAAACGACTTTCCAGGCTTGATGGACGCTGATGCTCTGTAGATGCGGTCATCATGATCCATATGCTTGAGAGTATGTAATTGACTTGACATGCCTGGGTCGGGCAGGCAACGGGGTGTTGTTGGTCTCTCCCATCCCGAC